CTTGGCCTTGTTGAACTCCATGTAGATGAACAGTCTAAATAAGAAAGTTTTTGTTAGATAGCTTTTGTTTTGTATCACTTCTGAATTAAATTAGAATTCTACATGCAGCCTCATGTCAATTGATGTGCAGTATCATGACAGCCTTTTTCCCACCCTCTCCCTAGGCAGCTCATCGCTCCACAGCCCCATGTTAGACCTGGACAGTGATGTGCGTCCATCACCAATTGGCCATCTCAGTCAAACTGCTTCACTGAAAAGGGGCAGCAGCTTTCAGTCTGGCCGTGATGATGGTAGGCTTCTGTCGTATTTGGAAAAACAAATCTGCATTTTCCTATGTCCTGTGTGTGGTGTGGTATGTGTATTAGTCTTTTTGACTACGCTTAATGCAGCAAGCAATGTCCAAAATCCAGTTTATGTTTTCCTTGTTTAAATTCTTTTGCATGTGTGTCTGCTTAAATAGTTGCAGCTACAGAAGGGAGTTTCAGTTCAGTTGGTTAACTTTGCTTTTAGAGTCTAAGTTACGAATCTATAACTTTTTACAAACTGGAAAACATAGATCTTCAGCAAGCCTTGCAGGTTCCATAGCCAGCAGGTTAAACCAAGATCCAAAGGAAAACTGGAGGATCGGAGCATCGTAATACTTACCTTAGGAGCTCAATCCATTGCAAAGACCACAGAGTCAGAATGAGTTGGCTCCAAGTTGAGCTCATCTTAGGTGCACATGCCCACAGCTTGCTTAGATGCAGCTCAGGGTTCTACCATCTTTGCTCTTCTCTGAGTGGAAAGAGCCAAACAACCACTTCTGATAGCTCTTCAGGAGCTGTCATTCCAAATATGCCATGATATGCTGATATGCTCTGTTTTCAGGTTGCTTGTGTATCCTTTTGTTTCTTAGGAAGTTTGAGGAATGTAACTTCTGAGGGTTTTGGTTTTTTTTTTCCCCAATGAGATTGACAGTGATTGTCTATGAGATTCTTTGAACAAATTACTTTGAATTCAAAACTCTGGCATTCAAATAACATTCAGCTCTTTCTGGAGTTCATGAGGCTATGTGAATAATAGCTCTAGTTTCATCTTCAGGATGTTATAGCACAGATTATAATAGAATAAATAGAATTTAAGAAAAATTCTGCTTTAATATGGGTTGGAGCTTTCTCTAGCAACAAAGTTAAAACACGCTGAATTTATGACCAGAATGTCCTTTTGATGTGTTGGTAGCAGACTAGGTGGCTAAGGCAGTCTCTGAAATAGGCCTGAAGTATGCTTCCTGGAGGGGAAGATAATTTCGTAAATTGAGTAAATCTTCCAAGTGCATTTCCAGTTAGGAACAGACATCCCTAGTTATAACCTTGGGCTGGTGCTAGAGTTTTTGGCAAAGTTGAAATAGTTTCTCAGAGGAGCTGAAATCTTACGGTTAGAACTTGGGAACCCTGTGGCTACAGCAGTGTTGGCACAGCTCCCTGGCATAGTCACAGCTTATGTTACTAGGAGGAGTTTTTCTGCTACTGGTTCTAGACCAGTTCTCTGGCAGTCATAAACCAAGATGGCAAAAGTAGCGCTCTGACATCCTTTGTGTGTCTACCCTATGAAATTTGCTAGTTGAACTTTGAAGCTTTTCATGCCTCCTGAACAGATGCATTAGCAGAGTTACACCTTAGTTATGTTAGAGTCTTTCTCCAAATTTTGGGCTCCCACTGTGATTTTTTTTTTTTTTTTTTTTTTGGCTTTTCAAATACTAATCGAGAGTCCCTGAGTTTTTGACCATAAGGAATAAAGAACATTTTGGTAGTGCAGATCTTTATTTGTCCACTGAAGAAACAGACCAATAATTTACCCGCACCTCGACAAATGGATGTTGCTGGAGGTGTGCTGTACTTCAAGGAGATTCAAGGCCAACACCATGAAATAGTGAGGCTCTGGTGAAGCCTACTAGTTACCTAATGTGCTTTAGGCAGCTATTTTTGCCTAAATGGCGAAAATTCCTGTTCTGTGTAGAAAATACTCTCTAGCAGAGGAAAGGCAAAAAGTGGTATTTCACTCAATATTTTATTATTCATGTTACTTATTTTTAATGATAAAGTTAAAAACATTTATAAAAGACTAGAGTTTACACACACAAAAAAATACCACACACAGACAATCATGGTTTTGTTTTGTGGGTTTTTTTGGCTGGTTGTTTTGGTTTTCGGCTTTTTTTTTTTTTCCCAAAACTCTGTGTTTTCCCAAGTTTTCTCAACTGGACTATAATTCTTGAGGTGAAATCTAAGTCTCTTACAGCTGTTATACCAACACCCTGTTTTGTTAAAACATCATGGTCGAGAAATTTTCGGTGAAGAAGGCAGATGGTTTTAGAGAAGTGTTTGAGTTTTCTTTATTTTCTGTGTTAATTATGGGAGTTTTTTTCCTGCCCTTCTTCAGCTTTCTCTTTACCTCTTCCCCAAACCTTCCTTTGCCTCACTTGATAAGAAACTGAGAAAAGTTACCTGCTGACAAAATGTAGCCAGCGCACCAGGGTCTTAAGTAGGTTCGTGAAGTGAGGGGTACCACAGTGATATCATTGTGTTCTGCATCTAGGGCTCCCATTATATAATTAGTGATATGTCTGTTGAGTTTTAATAACCAGGTTGGAATCTCCCCTGTTTTTCAGATAGAAGATTTTACCAAACAAATCAAAATGAAGATGAGAGGTTGGCAACTTGCCCCAGGCCACAATGGAAATGTTTTTGAGCTGGAAATAAAGCACATATTCCCGTTTCCATTGTTTGCCTTAATCCCTAGCCCCATCCTAGCAGCCGTTTCTTCAGTATCACCACCTCATCACTTGAAACTTCTAATCTCTTGATTGCTTTCATGTTACCTTATCTTTTAGAGTGGTTGGAGACAGAAGACCAGCTGAATGCATTGTTTAGGTGGATTGCATTAGATACCCCTGCAAAGGAGCCTATTCTGTATATATTGTCATAGTGCTGGCACCTTGTAAGCATATGAGAAGAGAAGAAAGAGTTTGTGTGTGTACCAATTCTGCACACATATATGGCGAGGCTTTAAAATTTTCCATTCCTACCTGAAAGGCTTTATATATACAATATATATATAGGCACTTGTATAATACAAAACAGCAGTAAGCTAGTAGTACATTTTTTATTGTTAACTCAAAGGTTTGTAAAATTTTGTTTTCTGTTCCCTCTTCCCCTTTTAGCTTGGCGATACAAAGCTCCTCAGCAAGTGGTATTTGTTGAAAAGTTGACAAAACTTGTTGTAAGTCAGCTGCCCAACTTCTGGAAACTCTGGATTTCTTATGTGAATGGAAGTTTATTCAGTGAGGTATGGATGCTTATATATAAACAACTTTAACAAAGCTCCATAATATAATATTTCAAACGTGTATTATATTTCACTGGAAATAGTGACTGGTCTTATTTTAATCAGGGAGATCTATAAAACAGTATGTAGCCTCTTACACATTTGAGAGATTCTCCCTTGACTAGTGACCTGTCTTGCATTACTACCCTGTAGAAGTGAGATTCTTTATTTTAAATGAATAAAAGCATACAATGGAATTACTTAGAATTCTGCCAGTGGTATGTCTGTGTGTGTTTGAGATGCGCGAGTCGGTAACTGTGTAGTTTCACCTCTTACTCATAGCTGGCCAGCTGCCCTTCATTGGTGATCTGAAGAAATAGCATATTGCATGTACGATACAGATACGTAAAAGTCAGTCATACAGAAAAAAAAAATTGTTTCTTTTCTTTGGAACAAGAGTACTCATTTCTTGAGTTTTAAGTATTTGGAAGTGAGGATTTGCAACCAGAGTTGCAAAATGACCAAGGCCCAGAGTGGTGTACACAGACGTACGGTGAGGAGTCTAGTCTGGAAGTGCAGTCAGCTGCAGTCACCTGTGCTTCTAGTCTTTCTTGCTCGGATGGATGTGTCTTTTACAAATTGTGTAAATAAAATGTTTATAATCCAAGAAGCAGGCAAAAAAACCCTAAACCCAAAGTAATGTTTCATGATGTGCTGGTTTTATGTGCACGGTATTAACAGATTTTAAAATAGTACATTTCATAAATAATTTGATAAAGGTTTTATGCAAATAACCATCATAATTGTTACCAGATGAATACAGTAGCTTTTGGGTTTGTGTTATTGCTAAAATTTGGTCACAGAATTACATTATATTTTACAGAAAGTTCACTTCTGGTTCTCAAGCCGTGTTGTTTCTTCTCCAGAAGGAGAACTGTAGTGATGTCATATTCCCAAGTTACAAGTCTGACAAAGACAAACTGCAATTGAAATGTAGTGAAAGGCAACTCTCAGTTCCATCAGCAGTTGATAAGGCACTGGCTCACACCTCATCGGCATAGCTATCACTGGGAAGTCCTGCTGGCTGCAGCTTGGACTCACTCATTCTGGGTCCTAAAACCCTCTGAAGACCCAAACAGATGTAGAGACGGTTGGGAAGATACAGAGCAGGTGGTAAATGAGCTTTTTGGCATGCATCTTATTCAGATCAGATTCTGTAGCTGAACCTAAGGGTTTGTGCATATAAAACTTCTCTGTTTAACTGTTGCTATATCATTTCATTTGTTTAAATTATTTTTATCCTGCTATGCTTAAATCCTGAAATCACCACATCTACAGTATTCCACTACAAAATTATCCTTAAAGCAGAACTACAGCCATAGCTGTCTACTCTTCTTCACAGCTTTAGTAGAGAATAAAACAAACTAAGCTTGGGAAAAGGAAAGGAAGCTTATTTTGTCATTTTCCTTTTCTCTGACTAACTGAAGAATTAATTTCTCAAGCGGTCGTTCTATTTATTGCCACTGCCTAAATCAATATAACATTTTCATATGATGATACTAATAGGTAGTACAGTCCTTTGTATGTTGAACACAATATGCAGACCATTGTAGCTCCAGCGAAAGATTCTATTCGCAGTCCTGATTTTACATGATAAAAGGAAGATAAGACATATAACGTTCAGTGAAGGAAGTTAAATCAAGAATAAACCTTAGTAGTGTTGACTTTCACAGAAGTAATTAATTTCATGAGGGAACTGACAACCTTTAGATTTGATGGCAGTACCATTGGAAATTAGACTTTACAAATTCACCTGTTATTGTGATTTTTTTTTTCTGAGTACAATGAAAAAGAAAGCAATTTCTAGAAAAACAGACACTTGAACTGTAAACAAGGTTGAGAAATTCTGCTCGTGAAAATGACTGCAAGTGGAAACTGCAGTGATATTATGCCATGTCTGAATAAAACATTGTTTCCATGTATTTAAAAAAAAAAAAAAAGGGGCGGAGGAGGTTTCCTGTTAGTCTCTAAGGAAGATCTATTCTTCTTGTTGGGCCAGAAAACTTGAGCTTGTAAGAAATTAATCTACATATATTTAATTTCTTCTGCTGCTTCTTTTTCCATGTTGTTTCTTCTTTATTGTCGTTCGGGAAGCAAGGTGATTGTTACGTTATTTTTTAAAAAAGTTCTGTGAAAATAGTACAGAGGGGCACTTCAGTTGGCTTATTCAAGTCTTCAAGACATTTTAAAAAGGGAAAGAAAATCCCCACATAAGAACAACAAGCTATATTTATTTTCTCTCGTTCAGTTTGTAGGTTTGCGGAGAGGAAGGGTGTTCTTTTTAATTCTGAAAGGTTAGCTATATGCCTTAAAATACTGTCAGTTAAAGATTTACGTGGTATTTTCAACAGTTTAAAAAGTTGAGTTCTTTGAATCACTCTAGGTGAAGTAGCGTATGTAAGTAGTAACCGTTGGTCTTACCACAAAATAGTTTTGGTCTGTCTGTGCAGGAAAGGTTTAAGATTGGTTTTCATCAAAACCACGAAGAAGTAGAAGAAAAAAAGATCAGATCTGTGAAATTTTTTGTTGTGCTTTAATCCAGCTGTAAAACAGTGTGAATTTTAAGTTGATACCTGATGTTTAAAAGAATACAACTTATTTTCTTTTCAAGGCATTAGAAAAGGGAAATGGGTATTACATGCAGCAATAACTCATGTTGTTCTCCTTGTCTGAAAATGTATATAATTCAGAGCTGTAAAGTACCAGAGTTTCATGGCTACATATTTTCCAAAACTGTTAGGCAATTTTATTTTCCTCTAATTTTGCTCAATTCAGATTATTTTACCTTTTGAAATTCTGAAATGCTTTAGTTAAAAAGGGAATTTGAGAAATACAGCATTTCAAATTAATAACTTGAAAATAAACAGATTCTCTTTGAGAACACTCTCGTGTTATTCACGACTTGTCCAGTAGATGTTGCTGTACATACACAAAATAGGGGATTTTTCTAACAATAAAATTCTATATCTGCAATTAACCCAGTATTTTAAATCACTTTTTCAGTATAATTTACCCTGCTGTGTTCTCAGACTCCACAGAAGGCTAGTACTACAAACAGGAAGACTATTAGTCAAACCATGTTTTTCTGTAACTGTCTCATGCAGAGCGTACTCATATTCCTCTGTTTTCAAAGAAGCGAGCTGTCCATGAAGATGCTGATTATTTTGCAGAGTCTCTTTTACAGTTAGTTGAAGAGAATCATCAACAAAATGTTCTTCCTAAAACCAAAAAATAATCCCCTCAACCCTCCTCCTCACAGTTCCGTATTGCTTTCATTCCAAGGGGTGTCTCCCACTTCACATTGATGTCCTTCCCATGGCAGTTTCCGTGTGAATAAAATAGAGTTTCTTCATGTAGACTTGATGCACAGTTGGACGATACAGGTTTTGGCTCTCCCTAACATTGTAGTGAGAATACTTTCACCTGATGAAGTTTGTATTTTTTGAGTCTGAAATACACGTTGTTCCGCAGAATTAACCATTAGCAAACTGATCTACAGTAAGTGGAGTTTATTGATTATATTATATAGTCTCATGGCTTTTTGATGCCATGAGTTAATGTTTTGTAATTACATCATAAACTCATTGGTTTTCACTTCTTCACTTTGAAACTCCTTTTTTTCAGAATTATTTTAACAGTGGTTATGAGATACTTACACTTTTTCAATTTTCTCATTTTCACAAGACTGCTGAAAAATCTGGCCAAATGGAAAGATCGAAGAAAAATGCTAGGCAAAGACAAAATGATTTCAAGGTAAGTTATAAGGGGGGAAAAAACCTTGCTTTCTTTCACTTGTCCTTCATAGCGAGATACTTCAGTGTCACCACCTTGAAAATCAGATTCGTTAAATCATCTACATGCCCTTATACCTCTTTCTCCTCTGCTCTCTTAGCATCTGGAGACACCTGTAAATTGTGCTTTCCAAGCTGTTGTGTATAGCAAGTATATGGCTGCCTAAGCACGTTGATGGAGCTTTTTGCTTCATCTCTTTTCCTTCCCTCCTTTTGATGCAGAAAATGATTCAGGAAGTGATGCACTCTCTGGTGAAACTTATCCGTGGAGCTTTGCTTCCATTCAGCCTCAGAGAAGGAGAATCAAGACAGTATGGTGGCTGGGAGATGAAATCTGAACTTTCTGGCCAGTGGCTAACGCATGTTATCCAGACTGTAAGGTAAATGGATCTGTGGACCTACAAAATGATGCTATTCCTGGAATATGTGTGTTTCAAGAAAATTGTTTTATTTATTGCATTAAATACCCTAAGTAGCAACAATGTCAACTTTTTCAAAAAATAGGATTACAAAAAAATTACACATGGCAGATTTAGGATTTTGTGTGCATGGTATAGCCTTATTGCATAATAATATATTAATTCCTTCCCATAGCATCTTAGGAAAAAGTTGGAATAAAATATTTGCCTGGCATGGAATAGGCACTCCATAAATAAAACAGGATTTGATTCTTTAGGGTATAAAGCAATTACCTGTTCCCTTTGCTACACATCTTTTCATCACTCATAATGGGTGAGAATATCATGCTTCTCACTATAGTATTATTTATTACATCATAAGCCACTTTTACAGATGTTTTATGGAAGGTGATACTCCCACTTACAATGTCGTTCTACTTACAATTAAGCTTATAAACTTAGTAATGTTCCTGTTATTAATTACAAAATACCCTTTCATTTGCCTGTGGAGGATATAGGAATTGTAATTATCTTTTGGAAACTTGCATTATGGATATGGTATTGTACTTTTTTTATCTGCAGTTTCCAAGGTAGGAAACAAGCAAAGCACATAGGAAGAAAAGAAAGGGGTATCGGATGGAGCTAGGAACGATACATACCTGTTGTCAAGTTTGACACTTTCCCAAAGTCTCAGTTACATTATCTGTACTTTAACCATTCAGAAAAAAAAAAAAAATTTCCATGTGAAATTTCTTACTCTGGCTGAATTTTGTGAAAAGCTTCCGATTTAAGAAGGAATTGGCTTGGATTTGATGATAAGTTGTAGAGGGACAAGGGAACAAGCTTTGGCATCAGTGTGCCCTTTTATGAGAAGCAATCCAATTTCACTCAAATGATAAAATTCTAGAGATTCAGAGATTCACATCTGTAATTGGCTTGAAAATTTAAACAAAAGATTCTTTAAAGGTTTGTTGTGCTACAGAGTTCTGCCAGCTGAGGTGTGATCCAGGCTGAGGGTACAGGTTATGTGAAGACTCTTATGTGATTCTCAGAGAATCTCCTCTTGCTTCCTGGCCACTGCCCTGATAATGAACAACTGAACTGAGTGCTGGGGAAATTCTCTCTCCCTCCCACTCTTTTCCTCTCCTCATATTCTTACTGATGCCTGTGCTGGCACTTTATTAAAGTGAGGTAGTGTTGAATACACAGCGGTGAAAAGTGGAGAATATAAAAGGGGCAATCTGGAGAAGGGGAGCTGAACATACCGTGGTGGGGTACTAATGACATTGACGGCCAGGTTGGAAGTTTCTGCAGGTGCTGAGAGTACTTTTCGAGCCCCCACACTTTGACAGTCTAATAAATTCCTGTGACTCACACCAACAATGAAGGTGGACTCTTCTCATAAAGAGTCTACGTGTTGCATAAAGACCTTATTTGTTGTAATAGCTAAAGTCTGATAGTTCCTAACAAAGTCACTATGAAGCATGTGATGGAATTTCACTCATTAGTCATCTCACAAATGGTTGACCGTTTTCTGCTTGTATTTAAGAATGCTAAAACTTAACAAAATTAGGTAACAAGGATTTGGCATTATATCTGCGTTATCTTAATTCTTCTGCTTATTCATACGTATCACACAGCTTAAAGTGGGGTGGTTGCATAGTCTCTCTTATACCCCAATCTGTCTGCCAGTATGATAGGTTCCAGAGAATAAATTAGAACTGTGTGATAAGGTAAAGCCATTGTTGACAAGACTTTTGCCTTGTTGTAAGGATAGAAAGTTACATGTTTGTTATGGCCAGTTGTATGAGGAAAAGATGGTCCGAGGGATGTGACAACTGCATGCTCCCTTAGAAATGGAATCAGTTCTGGGTACAGGACTTCTGTGCGTTTTAAAGTCACTTAAACTTCTCACAGGTGGGTATTTGCATCCTATGTTTCCTGGATAAGTGAGAGAGAGCGGAGATTTATGTGATGTACTAATTCAGTAGTCATGGTGAGCAGATAGCAGTCTGATTAATGGTGGGGTTTTGATGGTTTATGCCCAGCACCGAGGGTAAGGAGCTGGAGCTTACAGGTGGATGATTGCAAATGTTCCACTTACTACTCCAACTTGTTTGCTTGTGCCTTCCTACTTCTGTTCTTTGGCATTTTCTAGTACCTGGTCTTTGCTCAGTATTTGCAGTAGGGCAAAGAGCGTTTTGACTGCATTTGAATTATCCTTGCTTGGATAAAAGCAGTAAACCTCACTTTGTGCCCATAGCTAAAGTCTGAGCACAACGCAGCCTTTTAGTTAAAAGCTGAAATGCTGTTCCTTGTAAGCAGCTGCTGTGTAACTATTTCCAGAGGAGAAAGTGGAAATGTATGTTTCCATGCTCAGCTATCAGGAGCTGAGGATTTGTGCCTGATCAGAGCTAGGAGTGAAACGGGCAATGAATTCACTCTTTACTTGGCAGGTGATGGAGTAGCTGTATTTTGACTCCTTAAATATGTGTACTCTTGCACAACATCACCATTTAGGGCAGCTTGATGGCTGTAGCTGTTGTAAATGTGGCTGAGCAGTGTCTCAGAAACCCGGTTGTAGACCTAGGATTTGATCTAGGCATTCACCTAAAAAGCAGCAAAAAGGATTATTCTTGGATTATAAGGCAAGAGATGGATGCAGAAAGACAGGCGGGGAAGTGCAAGAGGACAGTGGGAAAACTTGACATGCTGCTATGACATTGTTCTAATGTTCCAAAAAATTAAATCTGTATTTGAAAGCTTCTGAATGAAGCAAATAATTAATCATCTTTAAATGGGATAATTAGCTTTTAAAGGCTCACTGTGGTTGGAGCCGCTGTATTCATGTACACAGAAAACGTCTAAAAATATTCAATGAAGTTATATCAGCCTAAAAAAAAAACCTGCAGATTTATACCTCATCTTATTTTACTTGTTTTACAGGCTTAGTTATGAGTCTCTTACTGCACTTGAGATACCCAACGATATGCTTCAGATCATCCAGGATCTTATTTTGGACCTTCGTGTACGTTGCATTATAGTGACCTTACAACACACAGCTGAAGGTAATAAAAGGCTGCAGGTCTCCCTGCTTACTATTGCATTTTTCTGTCTCCAATTAGGCCAAACCATGTTCTGGAACGTAACCATGTTTGTTATAGATACAGTAGTGGCAGTTGACTCCTCTTAATTCTGTAATACCTCACAAGAGTTACTCAAATTTTTCACGTTTCTGACAGAAATGTGTTATGAGTGTTTTCTTCCCTTAGTCTAATGAATACAGTAGTTCAGATCTATTTCCTTTGGATTGAGACAGTTTTACAATGCAAGTGATTTATCTCATGACACAGCTTTTCCATACTGGAAATATCTTTTATTTTCTTATTTGAGTTCTTCTATAAAGTGAAGAATTAAATAAGCAATGACCCACCCCCAAGAAAAAAGAAAAATTCACAGCCCTTCATGAAGTAATTTAGTTGTATGTTTTCTAAGGCCTTTTTCTAGCATTATAGAATCATAGAATCATAGAATCACTAGGTTGGAAAAGACCTTAGAGATCATCCAGTCCAACCGTATCTGTCCACCACTAAACCATATCTCTCAGCACCTCATCCACCCGTCTCTTAAACACATCCAGGGATGGTGACTCCACCACCTCCCTGGGCAGCCTGTTCCAGTGCGTGATAACCCTTTCGGTGAAGAACTTCTTCCTTACATCCAATCTAAACCTCCCCTGGCGCAGCTTGAGTCCATTCCCCCTCGTCCGATCATCTGTCATTAGGGAGAAGAGACCAACACCCACTTCTCCACAACCTCCTTTCAGGTAGTTGTAGGCAGTGATCAGGTCTCCTCTCAGCCTCCTCTTCTCAAGGCTAAACAAGCCCTAGGGATTATAATCCCTAGGCTTCCTATTGTGTACACAGCTTTTGCCATAAATACCTGGATTGTCAAAGCTAGTAGCACATTCTCTAAATGTAAAGTGACTCTATGTGCATCAGAAGCCATTCATCTTACCGTCTTGAATTCAGCTCTGGAACTTGAACGCGAATGACATAAGTCTTCCAGAAATAAATGTCTCTTAAAATGTCTGGGCAGATTGATCTACTAATTCACTTAACAGGGTTTTTTCCCAAAAGACTAATTACCCTCAATCTTTAAAAAAAATAAAATAGTACATTTTTAATCTTACAATTTAATCAGTTTGTAATCTTTAATATATGATTCATCA